TCTTTCTCTCCCTCTTTCTTCTTCCTTCTTTCCTTTCTTTCCTCTCCCCTCCTTTTTCTCTTTCCCTCCCTCTCTCTCTCTCTCCTTTCTCCTTTCCCCCCCTTTCTTTCCCCCCCTTTTCTTTCCCCCCTCCTTTCCCCCTCCCCCTTTCTCTCCCTTTTTTTCCCCGCCCTTCTTTCTCCTCTTTCTTTTTTCCTCTTTCCCCTTCTCCCCCCCTTTTCCCCTCTTTTTCCTTTCTTTTCTCCCCCTCTCCTTCTCTCTCTCTCCTCTCTTTCCCCTTCTTCCCTCCTTTTCCCCTTCCTCCTCCTCCCCTCCTCTCTCTCTTTTTTTCCTTTCTCTCTCTTCCTTCTTTTCTCCCTTCTTTTCTTCCTTTTTTCTCCTTCCCCCTCCCGCTTTTCTTTCTCTATCCCTCCCTTCCTCCCTTCCCCTCCTCCTCCTCTCTTCTCCTTCCTCCCTTTTTCCCTCTCCTTGCCCTTCCTTCTTCCTCCTTTTCTTTCCCCTTTCCTCCCTTCTCCCCCCTTTCTCTCGCTTCCCCTTCTTCCTCTCCCTTTTTTCCCCTTTTTTCCCTTCTTCCCCCCCCCTTCTTTTTCCCTTTTTCCCGCCCTCTCCCCCCTCTTTTCCCCCGCTTCTCTCTCTCCTCCTCCTTTCCCCTTCTTTTTCTTTTTCCCCTTTCTCTCTTTCCTCTTTCCTTTCTCTCTTTCTTCCTTCTTTTTTTGTTTTTTTCTTCCTTCTTTCTCCCTTTTTTCTCCTTCTTTTTTCTTTCTTTCCTCTCCCTCCTCCTTTCTTTTCCCTCCCTTCCTCCGTTTTCCCCTCTTCTCTTCTTTTCCCTTCCTTTTCCCTCCCTTTCTCTCCTCTTCCTCCTTTTTTCTTCCCTCCCCTTTTTTTCCCCCTCTCCCTCCCTTTCCTTCCCTCTTTTCCCCCCTCCTCCCTCCCCTTTCTTTTCCCTCTCTTCTTTCTCTCCTCTTTCTTCTTTTTTCCTCCCTTTTTTTTTTCGTTTCCCTTCCTCCCCTTCCTTTCCCCTCTTTCTCCCTCTCTTCTTTCTTTTTTCCTCTTCTTTTCTCTTCTTTTTCCCCTCTCTCCCTCCTTTTCCCTTCCTCCTTCTCTTCTATCCCTCCCCCCCCTCCCCCTCCGCCTTTTCTCTTTTCCTCCCGCTTTTCTTTTTCTTTTTCCTTCTTTTTTTCTTCTTTCTCTTCTTCCCCCCTTCCTTTCTTCCTCCTCTTTTTTTTTCTCTTTTTTCCTTCCTTTTCCTTCCCCTCCTCTCCTCCTCTCCTCCTTTTTCTTTCCCTCTTTCTTCCTTCTTTCCTTCCTTTTTTCTCCTCCTTCTTTCCTCTCTTTCTTCTCCCTACTCCCTTCCCTCTTCTTCTTTTTCTTCTTTTTCTTCTTTTCTTCTTTTTCTTCTTTTTCTTCTTTTTCTCCTTTGTTTTTCCTCTCTTTTTTTTTATTTTTTTTTCTCTTTTTTTTCTTTTTTCCTTTTTTTCCTTTTTTTTCCTTT